CAGAAACATGCACAGTTTCCTTAGAATGTTTCATGGACATAATGGCCGTGATGGTCGTAACGGCCGTAATAGACATAATAACCGTAATGAGCATGGTCATGAAATGTCTTTCATATCTTGGAAAAATAATTAAACCTATCTGTGCGAAATACAGAATATATAAAGGATTCTGGAAATATAGCGGCTGTAGGATGTATTGGACAGGCGGGATTTGTTGGGCATATAGCAATCTGATGGAAGAGCTCCGAAATGATTCCGTTGAGGTGAAAAGAAAATCGTCTCTAACTTAGGTTCCATTCAGTCGATTTTAAAGGCTTGTATCTTGACTTCAATACCTACAACTGTCAATTCACTTCAGAACAAAAACCACTCCCATTTGTATTCATTTCCATCACCTCGGGTCAAAACTGTATAATACCTGCCTTCCAACATAGCCTATCGACTGAAAATCATTTTTTTTAATAATCCACCAATTTCTACAGTCTTTGTTCTGCTAGAAATGTACAGCTCACCCTAAGGTTTCGGAATATTACATCACCTTTACCTTTGCAAAAACTCTTATGAATGAAAAAAGCTTTCGATATTGGACCTGGATTAACTTCTCACCTTTCCGCAGGATAGCGTTGCAATTACTTCCATTCCACTAAATAAAATATGCCTCAGAAATTTTTTTGGATGCCCAAGTGACCTGAAAGCAAACGCATTACCCTATAAAAAGTGATTTGCTTCACAGAAATCAAAATGAAATTTTTAAAAGCCAGAACACCGATAGAAAAATGACCCTCACCAGTCAGCTATTCAAGTCTTTGGACGGCAATCTCAGAATAATACCATTCATCCATAGCATTGCAGCCGCAACTGAACAAGCAAAACGAATCTAGCCGGGCACAAGCGCGCAAGTGGCAACGTATTCAGACAGCACATACAGGGAACCCGTATGATTCTTGATTTGTGAATCATACAATCCATTTAAATATGCAGAGCTTTCTATAAGTGGCTATTTACTCGTCAGAAATGACTTAACAAGGTGTGCCAAGTACACAAGGTCTTTCAGCCTTCGAGATGTTCCTAGTATTAAAGATGCTCACAGTTTACAGACCGACCCATACCACACCGCCATCAGTGAGCGTTCAAGAAAGGACTTTCATCAACAACGGCTCTAACCGTATCGCACTGGGTGAGGATGCCATGAAAGAAGTTTCATCGAGAACGACTCTCACTGCATCGCACTGAGTTGGGATACGAAGTAACGAGTCTTGCTGAGAACGATTCGCGTGGCATGACATTTTGTTTGGTTGCTGCGGAATGCGTTTTTCTGGATATGTTGCGTGTCGTATCGAATCGAGAGTTTTCTTTGAATATTAGATGGGATGGTGAGACTTAGAATGTGCGGCACGTGTTGCATAGCATACTATGTTTGTTTCGATTCTGGTGTTGGAAGTGTGGCTTCAGGATGTGAGTGATTGTCACCGTTGATATGTTACCATTGGCGCTGGTGATGATATGTCCTGTTTGACCTGGGATGGTTGATTTCCAGCTTTTTTTTGTAAAGGAGTTTTCAGGGCAATTTATCGTAAGTTGTAATATATGTGTATGTTGCTAGTAGTGTATGGTAATTGCATTGTATCATCCCATTCAACGCATGTATTTTTGTCGATTTTATCGAAGATATATGTACTGTCAACGTTTTCAATTGCAGGCTTCAGGAATATATTATAATTTTGGAGTGATTAGATTCGTTAGATTGATTGTTTTGGAGTCTCGCCCAATATTGTTATGGCGAATGAATTGCGAGACGTGCTGCTGAGTTGTGCTCAGTGTCATAACACAGAGCATGAATTTGTTTTTTTCAGAAGTGTTGTATCCGCGGCAGTGATCTGGTGGATTGCGTTGTATATGTTTAGACATAGTAGTGCTTTCTGTTGGTTCAGTTTTACGTTTCGCAAGGACTTTTGCAAGCACTGGAAAATTCAAAGTGATATCGAAGAGAAGGATCTGATGCGTAATGACCACTTAGCCTATACAATATGACAGCTTTCTTCTCTTGATTCCCCGTAGTTCCTTCTTTTACCATGCGAAAAAGTGGTTTCCTTGCGAGACCTGTATTAGAATATTCGGGTAGTTTATGTAAAGCGCAGCAGGGTTCTATTGGGATTCCTAAGTTATAATTCGAGTCACCTCACATTTCATTTGAATTTATGGAAAATCAAGATGAGCCTGCAATGGCACATCATGTCTATTATATCCATTACGGTCATTACGACCATCCTGTCTATGACTGCCATTACGGTTATTATGGTCATTACGGTCATTATGTTCATTGAAAATCTCTTACAGCTGTCCTTGCAGTAAAATCAGTTTCCCGAAGACTAATACAACGCATCGAATCTTGTTGTGTCACTCGTTGCACCTCGTTTTCTTAACTAAAGGCTGTTTTTCAATGTTACATCGTTTTTTTATCAAAAATATGAAAGTTTATAATAATAGCATTTAGAAATAATGACTAGACTTATATTATAAAAAACTTGAATTAACTCGAAGTAGCTTCGAGTAGCTTCGAGTAGGTTCAAGTAACTTCCAGTACCTGAAAGTACTATTCAAGTAGCCTTAAGTAACGCTCAAGCAGTTCAAAGTAACTTCAAGTCGAAAAGTCCGCCGTTTCCCCCTGGTAGAGAATTGTAATGAATATAATCGTTTATTTTTTGATTATATCAAGTTATTTGAATATTAATCTAACTATTAATTCATTAATCAATAAGTTGATTAATTTGATAAGTTTTTTAGCTAAACATGCCTCATTAAGATTATCATCTTTATCAAGACTAGACTAAAAGTATTTGTCATGGCCACAATGATGAAAATCTACGTTTAGTAATCTATAACAATAAAATTACTCAAATAAGAATTGAACAAGTAACAACTAATGTATCAGTAGGTTTTTGTCATCATTCTATGCCCGTGTTTACAATATCTCAATATATTAGGCAATTTTAAAATGTTTTCATGTGATTATTCGTTTCAAAAATATACGCAATTCGATAATCTCTATCTTATGGTATGATTAAATTTCACCAAAGATGAACTACAAAACAAAGATTAAACTGAAACTAGTCAATATGCCATATAGAGAAAAGTTAGTACTTTTCATTATATAGTTAAGGATCTACCTAAATACATAACGTCACTCATGAACCATCCATCAATGGATACAGTCTAGTATTTTTCATCGAACAGTGTATAATGCATGTATATAAAAATATTTTCAAAATTCTATAAAACGCTGAAAAATCAAACTTCACACTGAATTATTGCTTATGATCTTTCGTCAATGTTTATACAACCACTAATGAATTGTAACATCAATTTATGGGAAATTCTAAAACTCGATCGATTGCTGTGCCATTTACAATTGTGGATTATGTCTTCAAATAGATATAAATATTATTGAGTTGCGTATGGCTTAGTCACTGAGGCGAATTATCACAGGAAACACTCTAACTGATTTCTATAACTTGTCTTATATATAAGAAATGTTCATCGCGACTGAAACCTTTTCGCATTCGCTATGGTATTCAAAAAAATGTTTCCAATACTACTGACATCACTGTTCTTACTAATAGATGAGATTCGTTTAATCTTAGGATTTTACCTTTGTAGATAATGAAATCCTCTAACAATTTATACAGTTTTAGAATATTGTTGCTGGTATAAATATGTTTACTATATGTGATAAAACAGAATGTTTTGAAGTAATAAACATTTTTTTTTTCTTCTCAGTATTTCGCAAATGAATAAAACAAAAAGATTCAAATCTACTTTTTTTTGAATTTCTTTTATGTTGGAATTTCATTAGAAAGAAATTTTCATTTCGATATATTCTGTCATCTTAAGTATAAAATTAAATTTCAAGTACAAAATAAATGCGGAAACCTCGGATTTAAATCGAGAGTTATGTGTACTTCAAAAAGTGAATGAGACAGATGAGTCATCCTAGAATGTGTGGACATCAACATTATCTTGGAAAACCTTTTCTATAAAGCACTTGATTTCTATTGGCTACTCTCAACCAATAAGATTTGGGGATGAATACAGCTCAGATTTGAACTCTGCACCTTGATTTACCCTAAGAAAGGCGTTTTCCCTATAACTTGATTTCTATTGGTTACTACTCGACCAATAGGATTTCGAGACAAATGGAGCTCAGATTCGAGTTCGTCGATTCAGAAAACCTCGAAGTATCATCTCTGTGATCGAAAGACAGAGCTCTAATTGTGGATCAATTAGAGTGTGGGCAAAAACAGAACCAATTCCCCTTCAATTATCTTTGCAATAGACGAGTTAGCCTTCTTCATTCTTTATGTTTTATATACCATTTTGTAGCTCGTGAACTTCTCTATCGAATGGTATATAATAGTTGGGGTTTTATTTTGAGTATGATAGGAAAAGTTTTTTACGAAAGCGGGGATGGGTCGATTTTCGCATAGGAAGCCATAGGAAAAAATGAGTATGTTTGCAATAACTCAGGAATGGTTCAGCCAATTCTTCTCAGCTTCGAACTCGGCCGAGACATTGTTAAGATTGAACTGTGTAGAAAATTTCATCGCGATTGGACTCTCCTTTCAAAAGTTATCGTGTTAACGGCAGGACGGACGGCCGGACGGACATACTGACCGATACTAGAGTGTACTCACTTTTTGAGTACACAATGAGAGAAATCTACCAATAATTGTTGTAAAATGATGGAATAGAACACACATCTGTCCAATGAAAAAGTAGTTACTGCTAGAGAAGAATGTCTATAATCGACTTAGAAAACAAACAAACAAACATATCATAGTCGAATCAAATACAACACATAATCCTATGAAATGAATTTGGAAAATTTTGTCGATGAAGTTGATATTTTCTTACAAATAAAACTTTGACTTTTTTTTATTTCTATGTTGTTTATTTCAGAAGAAATATTGTGCAAAAAAAATATTATTGATTTTATTTCAATAATGCGTTTCATGCGCGAACGATCAGATGTGATATGTCTTCATGGACGTCATCATATATCTGCATCAGCTCTCAATGTACCTTGCTTATTCAGTAATGATGATAATATTGATGTAACACTCGATATTCTTCTATTACCAAATGAAATAACTGTTGAAAATCTTCTCGAAGCTTTGGAATCTTCATTTATTTCTAAAGATGGAAAGGTTTTTTTCACTGAAAATGCTATTAATCTGGTGGAGGCAGTAAAGGGTGTTGCTCGATGTATATCAGGTAAAGGTAATGGAACGTGTTATAGAGTAGGACTCACTTGTGTAGCTACCAATTATCATGTAGCACAACTTGTTCTCAATCCTCCTCGACATAGAATTCCTATGTTTATTGATGAATTTAATATTGAATCATCATTCGATATCATCAAATCTTATTTTACTGATGAAGGTTCTCAATGGAAGAAATCTTATCCAACAGTATCAAAATATGAATATAATGGTACAGATAATTCTGAAGCCTTTAAAAAACATATAAGAATGGATCCTCTTCTCAGTGTTCAAAATGATTTTGATTATCCAGACTATTGTGTTGTCTCATTGATGCATCAACTTGAATTTCATGTTTTATTTGTTCCATCCATGCGTGTTGGTCAAGTTGGTCAAGCAATAGCAACTATCAGTTTTCCAGGTCTAGAAGGTGAGAGATATTCATAGGCTAGAAGAACTACTGAAGTTAAGATCAATTCAAAGATTTCATTTGAGAAAAACAACAAAAAGTTCTTCTTTACAAAAAATCTTGAATAAAAAAAAGAACATTTTTTTATTGTAATCATTGATTCGAAGTTGACTGTAAATTGATCAACAATTGATTTTGTTTTAGGAATGCGACAAGAAGATATATCTGCCACTCGATATCGGAATTCTTTAACAACTGTATTTTCGATTGTGGAAAATCTCATGGATGGTTTTGGTAAACGTAAGTTGTTTCCTTTAATCATATGCAGAATTGATCAAAATAGGTTTCTACCTTTGATCGATTCTGTTGAATTAAGTTTTGTATCAATTTTTGACTTATTCTTGTTTGATTTTCTGTGAATGTTTGAATTGAATTTGAAACAAAATTTTGAGAATGTCCTTCTGGATAATTGAGAAATCATGAGAACGAAATTTCGAGTGACGATAGTTGCCAATTAATTGATTCTGACTCGAATTTGATGTAGATTGAGCATTGATTCAGTTCAGTTCTCAGTGACATTTTTTGGTGCAAATCCAATTGACAGTCAATTTTGAAATTTTTCAAATATTTTTGATCAATGATAACATGATTAAAAGAAAAATGTTCTTCCTTTTCAAGTTTATTTGACAAAGATTGATAAGTATCAATTGAACTTGTTTCGTTTTAACTCGTTTCTGTTATATCGATAATGATTTTTATCAAGAAATCTATCTTTGTTGAAAAGTTTCATGATAGAAATGAGAAAGTTAGACGAGTAGTATTTGAGAATAAAACTAAAGACGAGATCATTTCATCGATTAAAGTTCTCTCATTTCCTTTTGATTCTCAAGTTAAATGAAATTTTTCATTCGAAAACTCATTGAACATTATTGTGAAATTGTTTTCTTGAATAGGTACAGTTAGTTATGGTCGAATTCTTGCTCCATTTAAATTAGATGATAATCATCAATTATGGATTGAAGATTCTGAAAAAAATTTGACTATTGAAAATCAATCTACACGGTTGGAAAAAATATTATTCCAGGGGGGTAACGCTATAATTTCAAATAGGTGATATGATGAATTTTATACCAAATGAAAGCCCGTGAAAAATGGGATTTATTGATGCTAAATAGTA